GTACTAGTAGCAGTAGTAGCAGCAGTAGTAGTAGTAGTAGTCGTCGTCGCCGTCGTCGTTGTCGTAGTAGTCGTACTAGTTACTAGTACTAGTACTAGCCGTGTTGTTGTCGTGGTGGTGCTGGTGATGGTAGTAGTAGTAGTAGTAGTAGTAGTAGTAGTAGTAGCTACTACTGCTACTACTGCTACTACTGCTACTGCTACTGCTGCTGCTCTTACTGCCGCTGCTACTACTACTACTACTACTACTACTACTACTACTACTCCTGCTGCTGCTGCTGCTGCTACTACTACTACTACTACTACTACTACTGCTCCTGCTGATGTTGCTACTACTAGTACTACTGTAAACTATGGCTTATATCTCCATGTAAGCCGCAGGCTGCTGGGAGGACGGCTCGCGCCCTGGAGGGTGGCATCGGTGTTTTTCAGTAGGTTTTGTGTGTTAACCATGTTTTCTCAGTGTACCCCTGCTCTACGACTCCAGCCTTCTTACGGTGGTAATTTCACCGATATGTACTGCCATTTAGGCTCACTTTTCAGTAATCTTTAAATCGTGTGTAGAATTTGTTCCTCGTGGCTTCCCCTGCTCGTGGCTGGCCCTTTCGGGGTGAAACTTCAGAGATCCAGATACAGAGGTCTGAACGATAACGAACTAACTGGCTACGAGTATCCCCTTACAGTCCCACTTCTGTACTCATACTTGCGTGCACTCCAAAGTTCTCTTGCAGTCATTCACGCTCCTATACCAGAGCTTAAGTGTTCGGTCTTCTGCCTGAAGCTGTATGAGTTTTTGTACAGAGAGAAGTTCCGCATACACCACAGGCGCCAGTAACCTATGATAACAACCTGCCAACGCCAACCTTTTCTGTGTACCGATAGCCACCAAACTCCGAAGCCTCATCCTTCGGTTCTACAGAACACCAGGTGATGTTCCTGCCCTTGCGGTCAGTTTCGGATGCTCCCGCGGTCGAGGCGGAACTCAAACAGATCGCTGCTGGCCACTCAGAAAGCCCACCGCTTCAGGTCTTTTGTACGTCAATCCGCTCGGGAAAACTAGCGAAGAATCCGGGGCCGAGCAGCCGGAAGAATGTGCACTGCCGTAAGTCCATGGCCAAGTCAAGGGGCGCAGCCGGTTTGCATACGACACGCAAGACATGCTCTTCATCGAAAGATGTGGGCTAAGCTACCAAAGGATGCAAAGCTTGCCTCGGGAAATCGCTATGCCTGTGGCTGCTCTGGCAGCTGTTCAGCAACAACGCTCTGCGCATCTGCCCAACTTGCGATCGTCGGCCGCTGTCATAGCTTGAAGCGAACAAACTAAATCAAGGCCCAGCATCTGTGTCTCGCCTTCTTGCGTCGATTGCGCCGGCTGCAGCTGTGCTTCCCCGATGGTCCGTTCCTGAGAAGTCCGTCTGCATCACAGAGTGAGTGTCTAAGGGCTCCGAGGTTCACTCATGCTTGTTCCTCGTCATTTCCTGTGTGCAGAGCTTGTGGTCTTCCTCTTCCGCACTGCAGGACCAGAAGGACTTGTAAATGAGAAGTCCAGGCATGTCCAGGCACCCGACCAACCTGATGACACGTATGCATGGCATTCAACTTAACACCCTTTATGCAGTGGGCCCTAAACCCTAAACCCTAAACCCTGAATGTTCTGACTGTGCCCTTCTGCCCACTCAGGCCGCAGAATGTCACTGGAGCGGTGTCAGGCAGGTAAGTAAGCCATTCGTGCTGTGTCCTGCCGTAGACAACAGCATCATCACCGGGCACCCTGCGAGTCGCTCTACTGTTGGCTCAACAGAATGCCTCCAGATGCCGAATTAATATGAAATGAATTAGAATGATGCTTTCCCACACCGGATGCACAAGTGGGACACCGACTCTGGTCGACTACACCAAAGCGATTCGTGCTTGCCGTGGGCGGTGGGAAAATGCTGTCGCTCTTCTGGACGAAGCCCGCGCGAGCCGATTGCAAACAGACAGCATCGCATGGGGTGCTACGATCGACGCGTGCGAGAAGGCTGCGCGCTGGGAGTGGGCACTTTCCCTTTTAGAACAGCAGATCGCGGATGGCATTGAACTCGATTTGATTTCATTCAACTCTGCCGTGAGTGCGTGTGCGAAGGCGGGCAAGGAGAGGTGGTCGTGGCGACTCCTTGGAAGGATGCAAGGCGACGTTTTGCAGCCGGATGTAGTCAGCTACACTGCGGTGATCAGTGCCTGTCAGAAGAGCTCGAACTGGCAGCAGGCCCTGAAGCTCTTTGCTGACATCTTGCAGGAACCGTTTGCCCTCGGTGTGGTTACAGTCAATGCTGCCATCAGCGCCTTGGCCAATGCACGTAGGTGGCAGCGTGCTCATCTCCTTCTGGCAGACATCGGGAAGATGAGCCTGCAGGCCACAGAGATCTCCACTGGAGCAGCCATTCGTTCTTGCGAGAGAACGCATGTCTGGCCACAAGCTCTATCTCTGCTGCATGCTGCGGAACATCAGCGCCTCGCTGTGAATGAAGTTGTGATCGGTGTGGCTGCTAAGGTGTGTGAGAAGTCAGCAATGTGGCAGCAAGCCTTGCTCCTGCTAAGTGGCATACGATCGAAGCAGCTGCGGCCGGACACTATGCTGTACGGATCCTTGATAGGTGCTTGTGGGAAATCGGCTCAATGGCAACGGGCACTGTGCTTGTTGAGAGAGGCCGAGCTGGAGCTATTGCAGCTGAACCTTTTCATGTACAGCACGGCCATAAGTGCTTGCGAGCAAGGTGCCGAATGGCAGCAGGCATTGTGTCTCCTAGATACACTTGAGGCCAAGCACACGGGGACCGACACAATTGCCATGAATGCCGCGATCAGCGCCTGTGCCCGCAATGGGGAATGGTGCGCAGCCGTGGAGCTCTTGGCAAGTATGGAGAGGCAGAAGTTGATGCCGGATGATGTCACATATGCCTGTGCAATACGAGCTTGCGAGGCTGCAGCGAATTGGGGAGCTGCAGTTAGTCTTCTGGAAGAGTCTCAGCTGAGACAGCTGCCTCCCAACATTCTGGCCATCAATTCTGCTGTCGCAGCCTGCGAGCAGGCAGGAGAGTGGCTCCATGCTGTGAGTCTTTGTCAAAGAAGTCGAAACAGACGCATTCAGCTGAACCTGGTATCCTGCACACTTGCGATAAAAGCTTGCCATGCAGCTGCAGTGTGGCAACAGGCCCTTTATTTCCTGCGAACTTTGCATGACACCGGGTTGCAAGCAAACAGGGACAGCTACAACTGCTGCATTAACGCCTGCGAAATGGCCTCCCAAGTACGGCAAGCACAGCGAATTCGGGATGCTATGGCAGCCGAGGGCTTCTGAGCGCGAGGCATTTTGTGAGCTGCCGTTGTTGACAGCTGGCCTAGCCCCACATGCTGCCGACATTCTAATTAATAACTTGTGAATCCCTCGAGCCAGTTTCTATGGGGTTATGAAGTAATTATGCCGCAATGTGATCTACAGCTCTTATATACAGTTCAGTAAAGCGAGTGGAACTAGTTTCCATGAGCCGGCCAACATCCGCCAGGGTGACCCGGCACAGGCGACGAGGGATAAAAATGCAGAATCGCGATCGTGTTTTCTTCGCGGTCTCCGATTCGGTCGATGAAGAAGTGCCAATTGTTTGCGTCAAATCTCGTGCCCATAAAGGCTGTAGGCGTAGAGCATAATATTTAATCTGTGTGGGATTGTGTGGGGCCAAGATTCCTCCCCTCGCCGCAGTTGATATTTTGGAAGACATAGCTCTTAACTAGCTACGGACGAGGATTCAGTCTGCTTGCACCATTTCTCTACTGAGTCGGGTGCAAGACATTCGTCTGATGGCAGGCATCGTTCTGTGCTGGCTATAACTACTGTGAGATCCTCTACCTGCCTCCCAAGTATCTAGTATGTCCGAAGCCCACCTACTCGTACTGTTTTGTAAGGGTTTTGGGCTACAAGTAAGAGCATAACACCAGCAGGGTTCCGCGAGAGCACAATCTTACACAACATGTTTTTTGTTATATCATACACAGGAAGCTTTATACTTCTAACCAGTACACCTCAAAATTCCGATCACAACGTTTGATTTGCCGCCGACATTGAAACAATTAAAATATATGCAAGCCTCTTTGGCGAAGAAGCTCACGCGCCCTCCGTTGCATATCGGTTTGCACACCCGAACTGCGAAACGGACATGCAGGCGCAGTTTGCAGAGCTCTACTTTCCCGCTGCATCAGACGTGACAGCCGTGCGCTCCTCAACCTGACGGAGGATCCCGAAACCCTCATATAGAAGACTTAAATGGAAGCCTTACTTACCTACATTATTTTGGGGGTTCCTTACAATAATTATAGTATAATATAACCCCAAAAACCCTATTCTAATTATTCAGGCCCCTACATTGCCCTGCTCCATGCTTCAGACCTGCGTTGTCAGGGGATGTTTTCGTTTATGCAGGGGTTGCGATGTGGATTTTGTCCGGTTCTCTGGGTGGCATCCTGTGAGCAGAGTGTTCGCCTCCAGCACGACAAGGTCAATAGTAGCGTCAGTTTGCTTTCTGAGTCGCTAGCCTTCTGCACAACTTGCGCAAGCATTCGAGGTAAAGCGACGCGACACACACCACCCGCGCGCACACACACCCACACACTCTCACTCAGACAGGTGCAGAGAGCGAGAGAGGAAGAGCCTTGATGTAATTTTTGTTTTCTTCGCGAGCAGCTGCTTTTTTTCCGTCATCTCAGCACAGCCGAAGACCACAGCTTTCAAGCCCTGCCTCCGACGTACACGCTGCCCGACAAGGTGAAGATCACCGATGCGCACAAGGATTCCGCTGGGTCATGGGGAATAGGACCTCTGTTGTACTGTTGTATGACTTGGGGTTTTCGGATTGTCGATGTGTTGGTGTTGAGTATTTTGAGCCTGCTGCGATCGGGTGCAGTCGGGTTCAAGGCCAGGATTAAGGCTTGAAGGTACGGCAGGAGGATCCGGTTACAGCTCGTTTGAGTACGTGCGGCCGTAGCAAGCAAGACGCGGTTGGACGTGGCACGTCCGTGTTCCTTCTCCAGCAACCGTTGTAGTCGAAATCGGCTTGTGTGAAGACACTCCCATACTGTTTCTAAACCCTAAACCCTAAACCCTAAACCCTAACCCCTAAACCCTAAAGCTGCTTGCTGTGCTGCATTGCCAGGCCCAGGAGCCACGGATTCAGATGCCTGCATACGCGTTGGCCTCAGCATGTCCTGACAAAAACAAAGTCGGTCGACCCACAAATTGAACATGTAGGCCTAACCCCCCAGGTACCTACTATATAGGGTACTAGAGCCCCTAGGGCCCTATATAGTAGGTACTTGGAGGGTAAGGGTAGGCTTGAGGATTCCGGCAGATGCGCCCTAGGTGCTTCACCATCAGAGTGTGACGTGGGAGGACGAAGCCGAGGAGGCGCTGCCAGGATTCTCGCTCGAAAGTATCTAATCTAATGTAGGGGCCTTAATAATTACCTACATTATCTTTGGGGTTCCTCATTATTAGTATTATTAAAGTATAATGGGCCCCAAAACCCTATTCTTATCATTAAGGCCCCTATATTACTTGCCTGTTAAGACTATCAGCACAGCGACACTGGCACCCGGACAGGGCAACCCCAGGCATTTTTCGGGCTTCAAGTTTCGGGCTCTGTTGGGGATATCATCCTCAGACCCAGGTAAGCTTGATGGCGGGGTTTAGGATTTCGGGCGAACCAGGCTTAGTAGATCAAGTCCGAAGGAAGATAGGCTAAACTCATCAACTTCCGCTTCTTGCATGCATGTCATGTGTCTGAGGGCGTGCATCCTCGGGCCTCGAGGAATATTCCGACTCATCAACTATAGCTGAGCTTAGGCTGAGCAGTCTTTGTCAGAGCCTGTGGAATTTTGCATCTAGCAGAGGATGACGCAAACGATGTTCCTCCACCAGTTGAGGCTTTTGAGCTGCGGAGCCCCTTCTGTCTGTCAACACAAGAAGCACTGAACCACAAAACCTGAATAGGAGAAAGACCTGTGCGGCAGGGCGGCGAGTCAACTGCCAAGCTCAGCTTGGCTTTTCCAGCGTCCTTCGCATCGAGGGAGGTGCAGAGTGTGGGGGGCGGGTGTGTAATTCGGGCGTCTGCCGGCCCGACTCCGCAATGTCCGCGCAAATTCCAAGAGACCAGAAGCTTTAAGGCAAAGAGTGGGAACACTGCAAGTGCCAATCGACTCGCCGCAGGACGATGCCGACGAGGATGAAAGTGAGCTGCTGCAGGCTCCGTGCTTTAGATCCACGTTCTGGGCTAAGGACTAAGAGCGATCTTAAATGATCTTTAGCTTTCCATGATGTTGCGCCGGGCCGCGGCAGAAGGTCTGGGACCTGAGGGATGATAAACAACCCCGAGAGCATTTTTTAAAGTAGATGCGTCCGTACTTTGAGAGCAATCAAATTCCTTGTAAAACAATAAGGGTAACAAAAAGAACGATGGCGAATGTTCGTAACCTTAGCTCAGGTCAGACAGTTCCAAAGTCCTGTAAAACGATAAGAGTAAAACAAAACGATAACCATGTTAAGGGTCAAGCAAATGGGTGGGGAGTTTTCACGCACGCTCACCTGGCGTTTTCGTTCCTGTGGTTCTTGCTCGGGTTCATATAAGCCTAGCTTATTCGTTTGTTGCATCAAGGGCTGTTGAGTTCCACTATATATACACTGCTGTCACGACCGTTATTTCTGTTCTCGTTGCTGCATAGTTTCGTTTCTTCTCCTGTTGTTGTAATTGCATACCGAGCCCTGGTCAAGGTAAGCATTGGCAACCTTCTCAGTAGTTCCGGGACATGACGCGGAATGCATCACCTCGACACGAGCACCGAAGAAGATGCAAAGGCTGCTGCTCTGATCGCCACTTGCTACATGTTCAGTTCGTGAAATATCGCAACCAGGATTGGTCACACTCATCCACACGCCCTGTAGCAAGCCGAAAATCCCTCGGCCCTTTCGTCGAAAGAGAAGACAGTAAAGCCTCACCACCTTGAAGAATGTCAACTTTCCCCGAGCTCACCAGGTTCCACTGCAGGCCCTCTTCACCTTCCTGCCGGTGAAGGTTGTTGGCTTCCGCTTCGCGATCCAAGGCCGCTGCCTGAGGTTGTCATCAAGAATCTAGAAACAAGTAGAAAGGCGCTGCTTAGCTGGCGAAGACAGCATGACCATGCAACAAGCTCTCAAGTCTGCCGTCCTCTCTGCCGGACGATGGAAAAACACAGGCTCCAAGCAAGCCAGGGGAATCAGCCCGAGCAAACATCTTGCACGAAGCAGACACTGTCATGCCTTCGTCGCAGTACGAGAAAAAGATGCTCAACCAGTGAGGGGCTCTCAGCAATCCGCTACCCCAAGGGAATCTTATCCGTGCCATCTTGTCGCCCTTTGGACTAAACATTGCATCGTCATTTGCCTTCATATGGTATGTCCCCGCCACGTAAAATTTGTTTAACTGTTTTTTTTTGTCTTTTGTCTTCATGTATAACAATAATAACAATAATAATAGCATACGCCAACAAAAATAAAGAGCCAGAGGGCCACACTGTTGGATGCATGGCTTGTCAAGTCCACGAAGCAAAAGTCGCTGTCACCCTTTCCTGCATGCCCGTAGGTTGTCCACAATGGCTCAGCCAAGAGAAAAAGCACACCCTGCTGCACTGCAACAGAGGACCTTATCATAAAGGTTCAGTTCTTGCAAACGGGTCCAAAACGGGACCCGGGTTTCGAGAACTACCCACACACACGTCTGGCTTTCCCTAGCTGGGCTTGGTGGTAGCCTCTCGTGTTGCAGCACAGGCCCCTTTGATCTCACGGCCGACCGCGCCAACTTGCATGGGAAGCGCTGGCCTCATCCATCTTCCCACTTGCGGCTTCGTGGCCGTGTGCAAGTAGGGAGGCAGGAGCATTGCCAGCATGCTTGCAGAATTTTAGCTACCCAGACCCCCAAAAGGATCTAAAAAATAGATCCCCTAATTAGGGGCCCTAACTACTAAAGGGTACTTTTAAAGGAACCCCCCTAGAGGACCTATTTTTTAGATCCTTTTGGGGGTTTGGGTAAGTGTTGCTGTCAAAGGTCATCCCGCAACCGAGCACTTTGTGCTGCCATCCCAATGGCCTTCCGCACAGCCTTGGAGCAGTTGCTGGGCGCCAAGTGGGGCTGTCCTCGACAAAAAGGGTGACTGGACTATGTACCTTAACAACCTCGACATAGAACAACAGGCTGCTAGCATGTATCTTAGGGCTTGGGGGTTGTAGAGTTTGCCACTTGGGGCAGACAAAGAGCCACCCAAAATATTCTCTGGGGT